AAAAAAAAAAAAAAAAAAAAAAAAAAAAAAGAGGACAAATTGGCAGGTTCTTGACTTTGTTTAAATGATTTTAAGTTTCTTCAATTTTTTCCACTAAAATTAACTAATCCATTTTATGAATCAAAACGCTAGTATCGATAATTGAATCATGAAGATCGTTCAAATCTTCATTGACATCATTGGTCCATCACTGAAATATGCCTCACTTCAAATATGGACACCGACCAAATAGAAAATGAAACATAGTTAAAGCACATGAATGTAATTATTTTTCCAAGAAGTCATATTTAATAAGCAATGCATAATCCAGTCCTGTAAAATCCAAGATTACACTCAAGCATCCATCGAAAGCACTCTTCATTTGGAGCCAACGCCTGTTGTGTAATAGATCCATCCTAATGTTTATTAATAATCTTCGTATCCTTCCCTCGTAAAAGAATCGAATACATTGGTTCCAACTCTAAAATCAACGGAAGAGATTAGTGAAATAAATTTATTTTTAAAGTTATAGTTAACCGGAGATATACGATAAAACTATATTTCATCCATGTTAGAGGTCAAAATCCACACAAAATCACCATTTTGAAGCCAACCCAATTGTGTTATAGCTCATTCATATTTAGATATGTCACATCAACAACTCTTATAGTTAATAATGCGAGGATTAGGTGATAATTTAACAAAATTTTGTCAACTTTCATCACTGAGGACTCATTGTACGATTATAATAAAAGATCTAGTAACAACTTGCTCCTCTTGTTAGTTTATAATAGAGTGGGGACTAATGTTGCTATTTTTCCATTTAATATAGATAAACCACCACACGCAAAACACAGAGGGAGGGAAAGATAAGAAAGAAACTCTGTACTCCACTCGAATGACTGAACGAGTATAGATAAGGCTCCCTTCCTCCTCCTCACCGCCGCCACCACCGTTACGGCCAACGCCGCCCCTCCATTATCTATGGTAGCATCACTCTTCTCCCCGGCAGCCTCCACTCATTTCCTACCTCAAGTTTTCGTCTTCCATCCAAAATCCATTCCCTTTCCACTACTCAAACCCCGCCATCGATTCATCCCCTCCAATTTTTCTGCGTCCTCAACCGCCTCAAATGACAACAGGAAAACCTCTACGGTATCTAGCTCAATTAACCGAAACCGCCCACGAACTCTGTTTCCAGGCGGCTACAAGCGACCTGAGATCAAGGTCCCGAATCTCGTGCTCAGGTTGAGCTCTGAGGAGGTTTTAAGGGACAGTGGTAATGTTCTTGACGTAATTGACAACGCAGTCTCGGATAGAGTTGGAATTGTGGTGCTCAATGGCGAAGGAGCAAGTGGCAAAAAGCTATACGAAGCTGCTTGTTTACTGAAGTCGGTAATCAGGGACCGCTCATACTTGTTAATTGATGAACGCGTTGACATCGCAGCTGCTGTTAATGCCAGTGGAGTATTGCTTTCTGATCAAGGTTAACATATTCACTTATTTCAACTGTGTAATGAGCACTCTTCATATTTTGGCCGGATTGCTTAAAAGGTTCATAGATTTTTTACAGTTTTACTGGATGGACATTGGATTTATCATTATAATAACGGCGGTTTGGAGTCCCTAGTGCTTGAATGATCTAGCAGTTGGATGAGCAAATATTTAGAATGTGCAGTTTAATAATCTAGCAATGAAATACTTGGTGCTTAAATAATTTAAGGTAGATGATTGTTGGCAGGTCAAGTTATGATTTATCTCACATATTTTCTTTACCTAAAATGAAACTTGATTTAAATGTTAAACGTAGTTGGAAATCAAAATGTCTCAAATTGTAGTTTAAGATTATGAAAACTACAGTAGTACATGGATTCAACTGGTTTTTTCTGCAACTTCTGTTGAGTTTTTTGTATAACCAAGTAATGGAAAAAATGTTTATTTACATTACCCAAGTTCCAACTAGATCTTCAAGCTTTATCTATTTTCAGAATTTAGATCCATCAAATGGAAAAAATGTTTATTTACGTTACCCAAGTTCCAACTAGATCTTCAAGCTTTATCCATTTACAGAATTTGGATCCATCAAGCTGAAATTGACCACGTTGTTAATTGTCATCTTTCTTCCATCTGGACAGGTCTCCCTAGTATTGTTGCAAGGAATACAATGATGGGTTCAAATACTGAGTCAATAGTTCTTCCTTTGGTGGCAAGAAATGTCCAAACTTCAGATGCTGCATTAGATGCGTCTAATTCCGAAGGCGCTGATTTTCTCATTTATAGTGTTAAAGGTGGTAGTCATTCTGAGGGACTGGTGAACTCTGTACTTGGGAGTGTAAAAATTCCAATTTTTATCACAGTCGATTCACTCCAAGATGAGTTTGAAAAAGTTTTGGATTTACTAAGATTAGGAGCCAGTGGCATAGTGGTTTCAGTGGATGAGTTGAAGATGTTCAGATATGATGACTTGAAAAAGCTGTTTCATGGTGACTATGCATCAAATAAGAAAGCAGAGGAAAGAAGTCATAGTTCCGATAAGCTCAGAACTTTGGATACTGATAATGGATTTCCTGGTAAGAAAGGGAAGGCTGGCTTTACGAAATTGGATGAGAAGGAACAACAGTTCATAGAAAAAGAGAGAGCAACTTTGCTTGAAGCTATAGATGCCATCCACAGAGCTGCACCACTGGTGATCTTTTATTGCTAAAATTTGGTAGTTGAATTAGTTCTTCAATTAAATTTTCTTTACCTGAATGGTGTCCTTGTTACTTCTAACCTTTGTAATTTTGACCTTAAATGGCAGATGGGGGAAATCTCACTTCTCAGAGATGCTGTTTCTCAACTTGACGAGCCATTTTTACTGGTTATAGTGGTAATTGTGTGCTGAACTCCAACCAATTCTGGTTGCACGGATGTACATGGGTATTAGCTCTAAAATTCAAATGATTCCTTTTTTCTTTGATTGGTAGACTCTGAACTTGAATTTTTCAAATTTATGAGGGATTTTTCTTCAGAAAATTAAAATGCTATGCATTATTCTTAACTGTTATTCAGAAAGATAGATTTTTTTAAAAAAAAAAATTAGTACAAAATATCTTCAATCTTGATTGCAGCCCATAATTGTAAAGTTTGATCTGGATGTTGTGCCACTTTCTGTAGTAGATATATGGGAACATTTACCTTGTAAAATTTGAATATTCATGTGGAATTACTTTATTGATAAGCATTAATATAAATGCCACAAGTTATGTGGCTCTTTGATAATCACTTTACAGTTCTACCAGGGTCGATACAGAACATACAAATATGATATTTCTTTCATAGTTTCTTGTTTTTCCATATTTCCTGGGTATCAGTTTCTACGAGTTCAGTTTGATTGAACTGACTGTCTACCCGGGACTTAAAAAGTCTGGGTCTATTGGTTTTTGGTTTTTTTTTTTTTTTCCGAAGATATATTTAATCCACCCAGAGCCTAAAGAATAAAATCACTAAATAACTACTTAACACAACTCAATTTCCTCCAAATAAACTAACTTCAAACTTGATCACCAAAGATATTCAAAATTTAAGGGAATCTTGAACTGATAAGTACTAGCATGATGGCTTCCCTGCTGATTGATGCCAGTCTGCATTTAGACTTGAATTTTTGTTTCCAATCATAGTAATGACTAGGTGAAGGGAGAGAACCCCCATATCAGACTTATGTGTGCATGTGCATGGAGACAGGGAGGGCACAGGAGGAGTGCTCCTATAAATGAACTTTTTCTACCAGTTAGTCAATTTCCTTTACATTTACTTGGGAAAACACTTAAAAGACATGAAAAGGTTAAATATTTCATAAATGATAACTACCATGGTTGCAGACCTAGGAACGTATTCTCTTTTAACGGTATGTTTTGCGGTGATTTGATTAGTTTGTCTATCATACCTCACCATCTAATTTTATATTTGGTTTTTCCCTTGAAAAGCTTAACCCACGTAAACATTTCTAAGGTGTTTTGTTAGTCTTTTAGGCTGCACAGGAACTTACATGAGATACCTGTCTTTCTTGACAACACCAGGGAGAGTTCAATTCTGGCAAATCAAGTGTCATTAATGCTTTTCTGGGGCAAAGATACTTGAAGGATGGAGTTGTTCCTACAACTAATGAGATTACCTTTCTACGCTATTCTGAGCTGGATTATAATGTTCAGCATTGTGAAAGGCATCCTGATGGTCAATATATATGCTATTTACCTGCTCCAGTTCTTAAAGAAGTGAGTTGCTTGTACTTTTTTTGCCTTCTACTGTTTGGACGATAATGCATTCCAATCCTAACATGGAAAAGATGTTTTTTTTTCTTGTTGAATGAAAATTCTTGTAGGACGTCATGAAGAATTAAATTTCTCCCCATTTCTAAATGAATAATTCATGTCACTTCTAGCCATACGTATATCACATAGTTTTATTACTGATCAGTATTTCTTCCCTTTTTTTCAATCTAATACTCCAATTTTCTGCTGCAAATAAGTCTTGTTTCTATGAGAAAAATGTTCGAATTTCTATTTCCAGTATACCATCGTGTGTCAAAATTATCATCAACACTATCATCTTCATGATTATCATCCACTATTCTTGCATGTGAAGTGCCTTTTCAGGCACTGATGTTAGTTTGCTAGGATGAAGTTTTAGTTGGAATCTTTAGTTGTCAAAACAGCATAGTTAGTAGATGTAAAAATTAGCATTCTATAGTATTCTACTTTATAGGTCTCTGTTAGGTTTGAGTTGAGAAATAGCTCAACATTATACAAAGATGATTACATACCTGGCTAAACTATTTCTTGCTTCGTCTACCCCAAGCAGATGATAATTGCTGATACACCTGGAACAAATGTGATTCTTCAAAGGCAACAACGCCTCACAGAGGAATTTGTGCCTCGTGCAGATTTAATTCTTTTTGTTATCTCTGCCGATAGGCCATTGACTGAAAGTGAGGTATGGTCTAGTTGCCATTGTTAGTACAACAATGCCTTTGGATACTTTCTATTCTCATTCATCTTTTATCAACTGTTGTTTAAAAGAGAAGATTTTTTTATTTTTTATTTTTGGAGTTGTAAACTGGAGATCTTTGATTTGTGCTATGTTATTTGATTGGGGATTCTTTATGGAGTGGGAAATGAATTGTTTTAAGTTGATAGAATGATGTTTGGCTATTCACCACTGAAACTCCCACACCCTTGAACGGTTTTAATGTTCTTTAAGTACCTAAATGAATCGTCCCACCAGATGCTCTCATGTCTGAATAAAGTTGATGAGGGTTTACTCAGCCCCTGTTTGGTCCCCATTTTGTAAAACTCATTTTTCTCCAAACTCATTTTCAACCACAAATTTCATGGGATCTATAAACTTTAATCTTTTTATCAAAACCCACTAAAAATCTATTATTATTAATTTTTTTTTCAGCAAAACCATACAGGGGCTCAGTTTGTTGCTACGTTGTTAAAATCCATTGAGCTGTACAGCCACCTAACAGACGAGTTTTCATCTGGTTTTACTTTGTGGTACTTTTTTAATAATGGATATTCAGTATGAAACTCTTCACACTTCATTAGTTTATATTTATAATGGGTATTCAGTATGAAGCTCTTGACACTTTATTAGTTTATATATAATATAACCTCTTCTCGTTTTATTTTGTTTCTTGATCATTCCCATATAATAATTTTTCAGCAATTCACATATTTGACTTGCATTAGCTATATTTTTAAGCTGGAGTGCGCGTAAATGTGTGGTTCCTCTTATTATAATTTGCTATTTTTTTCTTTCACTCCTTATTGCTTCCTATGTACCCTGTGACAAAGATTTTAATCCACTTGTGTTACCTTTCAGGTTACTTTTCTTCGCTACATTCAACAATGGAAGAAAAAAGTTGTGTTTGTGCTGAATAAGTCTGACCTTTTTCAAAATGCGGAAGAGGTTGAAATCTTTTTCTTAGAGTGAATTGTTTATATCAAGTCAAAAAATGATTGCTTTATTATGGGGAGAGAAGGAGGACGTGCTCACAAACTTTTTGCTAGAGGTTTCTATGATTAAATTTTTGTGTTATCAATGCAGCTTAAGGAGGCTATTACGTTTATCAAAGAAAATGCAAAAAAGGTGCTAAATACTGAACAGGTGATGCTTTTCCCTGTATCAGCAAGAAGTGCTCTTGAAGCAAAGCTCTCTGCTCCTTCTAGTGGTCTGGGACAGTATGAACAAGAACAATCTTTGAATGCATCATATCAGGGAGCCATTGACTTCTCTGATCTTGAAAAGTACTTGTACAGCTTTTTAGATGGGTCAACAAGTACAGGGATTGAGAGGATGAAGCTTAAGCTTGAAACACCAGTTAAGATTGCGGAACAGCTTCTTTCTGCTTCTCAGAAGCATATCAGTGAAGAGTGCCAGCAAGCGAGAGAAGACTTGGTGTTGGTGAATGATCTTATAAGTAGCATGAAAGATTTTGTATGGAAAATGGAAAGCGAGAGCATTTCTTGGAAGAGACAAATTTTGTCTCTGGTATGATATTTTGTGTTCTTTTCTTATCCTGTACCTTGCATAATCTATCTGTTGTTTGGTTTTATATATGTTAAGAATTGATTTAGACAATTGTTATATTGTACCAACAAATGCAGATTAATAACACTCAAGCACGTGTCATCAATCTCGCGGAATCAACCCTGCAACTATCAAATCTTGACCTTGTGACTTCTTATGTTTTTAAGGGAGATAAATCTGCCCCAATGCCATTGACCTCAAGTCTTAGGAATGACACAATTGACCCTGCCATTTCAGAAGCAAAAGTGAGTGTAGCAATCCATTTTTTATTCTAATTGATGTTGAACTTGCAGTTGTATGCTTCTTACTGCATCTAACCTTTCTACTTCGAAGGAGATATGACTTCCTTCAGACATCATTGTTTGTATTATTAACTGAAATATTATATGTTTACGTTACAAAAAAATTCAGAAATTACTTGGGGAATATAGAACATGGCTGCAATCAAACAATGCTTGTCAAGGAAGTTTGTATAAAGAATCTTTTGAGAAAAGATGGCCTTCCTTCATTGTTCCATCATTACAGTCTCAGTTTGAGGCCAGTGAGTTGCTGAAAACAAAACATGAAGTGGGCATAAAAGTCATTGAGGATTTCAGTGCTGCAGCTGCTTCTAAATTGTTCGAGCAAGAAATACGTGAAGTGGTAAGTTCCTGACATCTGCAATATCTTAAGCAATATTCTATAAAGTGAATTAGCACCAGATTGGTGGAGCAGAATGAGTAAAAATCATCGGTTTGTATTGCACTGCAGACAAGTGTGATATAATTGAACCTTGTTGCTGCCGATTGGTAAAATCACCTCCTTTACTTCTATACAAGCCTAGGCAGCCTCACGAGCCAATGATATTTAGCCAATATATTTCCTTCTACAAAAACTTGTCTTCTTGATCTGACATGTGTCATAATATTCTTTGTTGTTAAAACAGTCTTCGATATTGCTAGTGAGATTTTAATTTCATCAATTTGATTTTTATCACTTGATTTAGAGAAACATATTGATACAGGGAGTTCACTTTTTTTGAATATCCACTGTCCAGTTCCCTATGTCTGGGAATCACTTACTTTAAAATATTACTTTCATTGTGATCGTTGAACACACTGGATAACTTAAAAGACTTGAAATTAGAAAGAAAAGTTGGAAGATTTCAGGCAGTTAACTGGTTGGGAAGCCTCTGCAAGCAGTATTTTTGTGCGGTTTGATGATTTAATCTAACGCCTTTTGGTTTTTCTTATTTATCAGTTTGTGGGGACTTTTGGTGGACTGGGAGCTGCAGGTCTCTCTGCATCACTTCTGACATCTATTTTGCCAACCACTTTAGAAGATCTTCTTGCTTTAGGACTTTGCTCTGCTGGCGGGTAATCTACCTCTTTCTGAATTTAAAGTATCATCCCGTTCATTTGCTCATTACTTCCATCTATTGAAACCCATGGTTTTTGCTATTTCCTTCACATTTCAAGATAATTTGTTTTAGCAGCCAACGAGTGTTTTACTATGGAATGCTATGTTGATATTTGAGTTTTGG